GAAAAAATCCTAATTCAAAACATTCTTTGGCCTAATAAAATCAGCCAAAAGTCTTTCATTATAGATATCAGTAATAAAATTTTAAAAAGTATTTTGGAAGTATTTTATGCTTATTTGAAAACTTTATTGTGTAATTTTCTCATCAAATATTTCAAGACTGAATAAAAATGAATTAAAGAAATACTAAAGTTCGTAATTAGTTTTTCCTTTTCTTCATATCTTAAATTTTTTAGACTTAAGTAATCTATCTTGAAAGACATGAAATCTAAATTAGCACATCACAATAAAATTATAAAAGGATAAATTTATTAAATATAATATTAAATAGATTGTTAAAAATTTCAAACATTTTAATAGCTATTTTAGAGAGAAAAAGACGTTGATTAGTAGAAATTTATTTAAGAACACGAATTTAATATAGACTATGAACTAACTAAATATTAATAAAATTTTTCTTTTTTTTATAATATAAATTTTGGACTTAATAAAACAATTATTATAGAATTCAATTCAAATATAAAAATCTCAAATTCATGTAAATTTAAAAAAGAGTATAAAAATATTATTTGGATCGTGAGTATTTAAAATAAAAGATGAGTATCTTTTGAGTTTAAAGAACTTTAAGATCCAATGTGAAGAGAAAACATAATCAGAAGAAATCTAATTTATACTACAAAATAATATAGAATTTTATGGAGAGAATTAAAATTGTAAATATAGGAAGTAACAAATATATTGAAAAAACTAGATCAAAACAAAGCAACTATTTAAATAGAATAATATAGTCTTGATATTCATGCTTGATTATTTTCTACTTGTATTTCAGTATTTGAGATTTTTCGATTTGACAATACAATTTAATACTCCAACTCCAATCTAATTAATGATTCATGACAATCAAACTACAATGAAAATCTATTTTGTTTTATTTATGGTCTTTAATTTATATATATAAGGCTTTATATAAAAAAATAAGAAATTCAATATTTTTTTAAAAAAAGGTTATGGATCGCACTTATGGTTAATAAAAAGATTTATCTGAGGTTTTTGCTTATGTAAAAGATATTGATGAATTAATATTAAGCCAAATCATTGAAATTTTCAGAAGAGAAAACATATCAGATAGCTTACAATTTCTTTCATTTGATCAAAATCAAAAGCAACTTGAATAATAAATTTTAAAAATAGAAAATTTATCAAGCAAGGATAGAGAATAGAAGCTATATGTTGTTAGGAATAACATTAAGATAATTTCTGCTATACTCAAAAATATTAAATATCATGACTTTAATAACAGTAATTGTTTATCTGGAAAAGACTTAGAAATGGTAAAAGTTATAATGAAGAAAGTGGAGGAGAATAAGAGGATCATTTCATTATTTATATTTTTAGTTCATCTCAAGTAATTGATTAAGAATTCATAATATGCGGATCAAACTCACTAAGCCTATTAGTTGAAATGAAAATTGATCTAAGAAATTAATGCCTTCAAAATATATAGATTTAAAACACTTCTTTAATTGGAGCTAATTTTGTAAGATGCAACTTGAGTGGATCGTAATTCAATCATGTAAATATTAGTGGAGTGAACTTAAATGGGGCTTAACTATTTGATTGTAAATGGAAGAATTTGAAAATACACGAATTGAATTTACTGAAAGGTCATAGTGGTTCAATATACTCAGTTTGCTTCTCTCTTGATAGCACTACATTAGCATCTGGCAGCGCAGATAAAGCAATAATTTTATGGGATGTTAAGACAGGATAATAAAAAGCAAAATTAAAAGATCATAGGGGAACAGTCAACCCAATCTGCTTCTCTCCTGATGGTATTACATTGGCATCTAGTAGTAGAGATAAATCCATCCGTTTATGGGATATTAAGACAAGTAAATAAAAAAACAAATTGGAAGGTCCTACTAGGGAAATCTACTCTATCTGTTTCTCTCCTGATGGT